CCCAGGGAACAAGGGACAGGAGGAGAGGGAACGGCCTCCAGCTGTGCCAAGGGAGGGTCAGGTTGGATATTAGGGAAAAGTTCCTCACTGAAAGAGTGGTCAGGCAGTGGCACAGCCTGCCCAGGGCAAGGCTGGAGTCACCAGCCCCGGAATTGTTCAGAAAACATGTGGATGTGACACTGTGATACGGATTAGTGGGCATGGGGGTCAAAGACTGAACTGGATGATCTGGAGGTCTTTTCCAACCTTTATGATTCTCTGATTCTGTGACAACAAAAAGGTTTGGAAGTGGGGAGGAACGGCCTCTGCAGAGGCCTCTGTCAGGGCCCGTGGCTGCAGCTCGTGGCTCCTCATCAGCCCTTCCCAGCTCACAGGAACGGCCAAAGCATCCCCACAGCCCTTCCCACAGGGAAAACCTCCTGCTCCCTCACACCTGTAAAACCCCAAGCCATCTTCATCTCTTGACTGAAGCTTTCCAAGGGATAAATATGAAAGGAGAGAGGAGAGGGATGAAGCTGATGGAAAATTCCCCCGTTTGGCAGCTCTTGCTCCGCGTGGCTCCATCTGGGCACGCACAGATGCAAGGCTGGGCAGATTTGTTTGGTGAAAATCTGAACAGCTTTTCTCAGATGGAAAACAGTGAGGGAAAGATGCAGTAAGAAGAAGTGCCGGGAGAAGTCGGTGGCATATGCAAGTGAGGAAAAAAAATTGCAGCTTTTCGGTGAGACACCCGAGTGGAAAATTCCAGGAGGATTGTTCCAGGGGGAAAAAGCCACGTGTGGGATGGGACAAGGATGCTTTGGCCGTGCCAGAAGATCGGGGCAAAACCAGAGGGGAGATTTGGTACAATTCTCAAAAAAAAAAAAAAAAAAAAAGAAGCTTTGAGAAGAAACATGTTTGAAGACATCAGCACAGGAGGAGCCAGGTCACCTGCAGATGGACAATATGGGAAAGGGGGCAGGACGTGGATTTACTGACAACAAAAGATGGAAGAGGAGATGGAGAACTAATGGCTAAATGCTGGGTGCAGCATAATTCTCCCTAAAAGCCCAACCAGCCAGAGATTTACACATTGTACCAGGTGAAAGAACTCAAAAATATTACTAAAACTCATAAAAACCCTGAAGTCCTTAGATGTGTTTTTATCTCACATAAATAAAAGCCAGAAATTTTAATTAATCCTAATTAACCTGATTAGGATTATTACAGTGCTAAGAATAATTTACTGGCACCACGAGCTTTTCTCCCTGTCTCTCCAAAGAGAATTCCCTTTGTGCACCTGCTTTTAACACCCCCATGCTAGAGAGCACATCCAAATAGAATTCCATTATGGTTGGGAGAGATTTCATGCACTCAGAGAAATGCAGGGAAAAAATACAGAATCATTCACATTATGTACTCTCTGCAGGGATATTTAAGGCTCTTCCCCTCCAAGTAAATCAGTTTTATGTAGGTAAAGTCCTTGAAAATATCAAATCGCAAGTCTTTGCTCACAGAACTTTGTTTCTTAAATTGTAAATGTCTTAAATTTCTTGTAAGTTTGGGAAAGACACAGAGGTCACAGGGAATCAGCATTTCCCACCCGGGGTCACTGTAGGACCCTCACACAATATTGACCTCCCGTGCCTCAGTTTCCCCCTTTGCAACATGAGAACAGTGCTGGAAATCCTAATTCCCTCTCACTTCTACGAAGTCTGAAGTGAAAGACAAGGAGAAATTACTTTCCTTGCTTAAGCTTAAATTTCCAGAACCAGTGGATGCCCCAGAGAAGATGAGGCCTGAACCAGGAGCTGTTCTGACAAACACATTGAGGTGCAGCCAACAACAAAGCCCAGCTTTGTGTTCCTCCTGAGAGACAAACAAGGGACTAATTGTCTGTTTAGTCTGAGAACTGCTTTGCACCTGATTACCTTTGGGGTCCACGCACAGGTTTTGTTTTCATTTCTTGTTTGTTAAACCCCAGCAGTCCCAGGGACACAAACAGTGGCTCTCCACTGGATTTTTGGTCTCTGTGGGCACCACATGGCTCTGCCCCTTTGCCTTGTAAATATAAGCTTGGTCTGTAAAGGTTTATTCAGCAGACTCCACGGAAAATCATAAATCCTGGAATCTCACACCCCTTCCACCTCCACCAAAATGAACCTGTGTGCTGGTCCAATGGTACAGACACACAGGGTTTGAGCCCCAGGGCAGAAATCCAAGGGAAGGACATGGACCATCTGCTGGGACACGGATCTGCTGCCACCCAGCAGGTCCAGCACATCCCCCCATCACCCCCAGCTGCCCCCTGGGTCTGTAAGTCAGGACACAAACTGGGTTTGCATTTCTGCCCTCTGGGTCTCAGCCACAAACACTCTTTAAGGAACAAGGATTTGCCAACAGGTGACAATGGCAGGTGGGTTTTTCAGGGAGGAGGACTCGGGGAATAGTCACTTGCTGATTTTCTAAGAAAGCACAGAAGGGTCATAGAATGGTTTGGGTGGGAAGGAACCTTAAAGCTCATCCATTCCCACCCCTGCCATGGGCAGGGACACCTTCCACCAGCCCAGGTTGCTCCAGCCTGCCCTTGGCCACTTCCAGGGATCCAGAGGCAGCCACAGCTTCTCTGCCCAACCTGTGCCAGGGCCTCCCCACCCTCCCAGGAAAGGATTTCTCCCTAAAATCCAACCAACATCAAAGCACAGCTTCTGTTCTTTCCAACTCCTGTCCCTGCATAAAACCCATCTTGTTCAGGCACTGATGCGACAAATAAACTTATTTCTCATTAGAGATGTTCCAAGGGGCTGATGAAATCTCTTGCTTTGAGACACAAATCTCATCAGCCCAAGGAATTGCTTTGCCTTTTGTACCTTTTGCAAGGCAAGTGCAGCATTCTAGGATCTGCCAGAAAGTGCACACAGAATCAGCATCACAGAATATTCTGAGCTGGAAGGGACCCAAAAGGATCATCAAGTCCAGCTCCAATTCCCCACTGCCAAAGGAAAAGACCTGTTGAGTGGGTGACCAAGGCACCCAGACTGGAGCACAGTTTGGCACATTTAACACTGATTTGAAGGATGGAACATAACATGCTTACTGAGATTGCTGCTGCTACCAGGCTGGGACGGGCTGCAAGTACTTCAGAGGCCAGGATTAGGATTCAAAATGGTCTTGATAAATTGTAGAAATGGTCTGGAAAAAAGAAAAAGAAAAAGGCAATTCAGGAATGGGGGGTGAACAGTGGTAAGACAGGAATAAGCAATGACAGGGTCACGAGGGAAAGAAATATCAGCTCACAGTGGGTAATTATTTTTGGAAAAGCCCTCTAAGCTCATCAAGTCCAACCCAGCACCACCACCATGGTCACCACTAACCCATGTTCCACATGGCTTTTGAAGCCCCCCAGGGATGGTGGCTCTGCCAGGGTGGGGACTCATCATCTGCACTAAAGAGCAAAGACAGCAGGGAGGCACCATCATGGTCCTCTAAGGGGGCAACAATAGAGAGGAATAAACTGTCTTCTAAACTGTCTTCTAGACTTGCCAAGGGTAGCACAAGGTGTCATAGTCTTAAATTGCACCAAGGAACACAGGTTAGAAACTGGGAGGTATTTATTTCCTGACTAAGGGAAGGAAAGCACTGAGATAGAAAGTCAAGGGCAGCTGTGAATTCCTGTGGATCCTTCCCTGGATCAGGGAAGTCAAGGCACAGTCCACCAGGAAAAGGCATGGAGAGGTGGCTTTACTGGAACTCTTAATTTTCTTTGTTTCCAAAGGTAAAAAAACGCTTAGGAAGCAACCCAGTGACTGCCCAGATAAACTTATATAACCCAACTGTTAATTAATTAATTAACCACATCATGACAGCTGAGGCCATGGCCCATCCACCACCTCATCCAGGCAGGCAGTGGGATCTCCCTACACACACCAGGTAGGGGGGAGAAGTATTATTATATCAATATTGTGGAGAAGAAACAGAGCCTTGAAGAGTCCAAGCCACATTCCAGTGTCACACAGAAGGTCTGCATCAATGGCAGAGGAGCCCTGTCCAGTGGGGCAAACCCAAAATGACCCTTCTAATTAGAGAAAAATTAAAGTATATTCAACACAGGTCTCACTCCAACATCTGCAGGTGCCCTGCATGTGACAGCACACAACAGGATCTCAAAACAGGTTTATTTTTGCCCAAATGTGCCTTCCCACAGAGCATGCAGAATATTCATTGGCAGGTGAGCAACTGCACCATAAATGCTCAGAGCTCTGATTTCTCCTCACCTGCCCAGAATCTCGATGGGGCTGCAGGGCAGGGCTTTGATGGCTCAGGAGGGAAGGCAAATATTTTTAGCAATTCTCCGGGAGTGCAAAAATAGATTTATCACCAGCCACTCTCCCAGCCTGGCAGGGGCAGCAGAGGCTGCAACAGCCCCACACCAGGGCTGGCAAAGGGGGTCTGTGCCCTGGAGCCAGGCTGGGAGAGCTGGGGGGTCACCTGGAGAAGAGAAGGCTCCAGGAGAGCTGGAGAGGGACTGGGGACAAGGGATGGAGGAACAGGACACAGGGAATGGCTTCTCACTGCCAGAGGGCAGGGAGAGATATTGGGGAGAAATTGCTCCCTGTGAAGGTGGTGAGGCCCTGGCCCAGGTTGCCCAGAGAAGCTGTGGCTGCCCCTGGAATCCCTGGAAGTGTCCAAGGCCAGGTTGGAGTAACCTGGGCTAGTGGAAGGTGTCCCTGCCCGTGGCAGCAGGGTTGGAACAAGATGATCCGGAAGTTTTCTTCCAACCCGACCCATTCCATGATTCCCTGATCATCAAGCCCTCACTGCCACCTGGCTGTGGATAATCTGGGAAAATTCGGTGCCAGAACAGGCATTAGAGATGCTTTTAAGAGAAGTGAATTTCCATTTTAATAGGAAAAATAAAAAATGAATCAAGAGAACGTTTCCCAAGCACACAGTGATGCTCCCAGTGAAAGCTGCCCTGGCTGCAGCACAGAATTGCTGTTGCATCACTCCTCTGCTGCTGAGGCTTCTGCAGGGCATCTCTAATCACAAAGAGCAGCTGGAATTCCAATGGGAATAAACACTGCCCTTGCTGATGCATAAACATCCAAGCAGATTTCCTTGGCACCGGCTCTGAGAAGCTGGAGCTCCAGCCTTTACCCCAGTTAGGTTCAGAATCACACTATGAAGTAGCAAAGACTTGTACTGATAAGCTCCATCACTCTTAACTGGGAGGCATCTGCTCACTGTGGGTTTGGAACAAAGAATATCAGGTTAAAAGGGGAAAAAAAATTTACAAAAGAGCAGTCCAGGCACTTGGGATGAAGTGAGTGTTCTCAGCCTCCCCAGCACGGCTGCAGAACTTCCACCTCCAGGCAGTGACCCTTTGAAAGCAGCTGAACACAAGTTAAAAATTCATATCCCAGCCACAGATATGAATTCCCAAAAATTGCTACCACCCCCTCTAAGCCAGGGGAGGATGCCAGCCCCTGTGACCTTCTGAAGGCACAGCCACAGCTCAGGGCCCTGAGCAGCTCTTCAGGCGGGGAAGGGCCTCGCTGCTCCTCCTTCCCCGTTGAATAAAAGCCTGCAAAACCACTGAGATGAAAAATCTCTATTTGGGGTTGGAAAGAACTTTTTAAACCACAGAAGTAGCCTCATATGGAGATGTGGCCAGTCCCCTTCCCAGGGACTCTGAGCAGGGCAGTGATCCTGGAGGATCCCAAGCCGGGCTTTCATCCCATCTCCCCCCAGCAGAGCTGCATCCCAAAAAGAGCCTCACGGGACAAGATGCAGCCAAATCCTGCTCTGCTCTGCCCTGGGGTGGCCTCACCTGCAATACTGGGGGGGGACACAATGTAGGGAAGGGATTGAGCCGCTGGAGAGTGTGCACAGGAAGGACATAAAGGTGGGGAAGGGCCTGGATTTGAAGCCGTGTGAGGACACTGAGGGCACTTGGTGTGTTCAGCTGGAGCAGAGGAGACTGAGGGGAGACCTCAGTGCAGTTCCAACTGCCTGGGCAGGGGCAGAGGAGGGGCAAAGGCTGAGCTCTGCTCTGGGGGAGCAGGGACAGCAGCCAGGGAACGGCTGGAGCTGTGTCAGGGCAGGCTCAGGCTCAGGGTGGATCTCAGGCAAAGGTTCTTCCCCCAGAGGCTGGTT